AATATAATATAATATAATATAATATAATATAATATAATATAATATAAACGTAATAATAATACGCAATAGTTCAGAATAGGCTGATTTGCATTAATATAAGATATACCTGGTTGATGACTAATACTATCTTAGCCGTGACCATCTGCCGCCGTTAGTTGAAAGGGTGCATGTGACAAAAACTCAAAACCGAGAAAACAATGTTGAATGAAATTCAAAAATATCTATTTTTCACTAACTTCATACCTTATCCACAGAGGAAAAAAGGAAAAATAGTGACAGATCGGTCTTTTTTACTGATCACAGCACTGTGTACGAAATTTAATTTGAAATTTACCATGAGCTTTTCATTGAAGGAAAACATCAATGTCACCTGCACATCGAAGAAGGTTCACCACCCTCGGAAAACGTGTGAAGTCCGAACCCGAGAACCCAACCCACATTGAGCCAGCGTGGCGGACTATGGCCTATCCTCGCCTGACAGGGCACCTGAATTACAGATCTGAAGTGGCCAAGTGTCATGAAGTAATTGATAAGCAAAGGCCCAAACAGGCTTCACTGGAGAAAATTTTTTTGCAGCAGTAGAGCTCCTTGTGAAAGAGTTCATCCAGGGAAGTACTGCCATCTTACCTATTTCTGCCGCCAAGCAGTAATATTAGCATTGCAGCTACATATGGAATGGATGGAATGGAGCAAACACTGCCGACTGGCGCATAGTATTCGTACTCAAAAACCGTGCGGTTCGTGCAATGGCGGGACTACCTGATGATGTATAGGCGCGCGACTATTTCAAAAAATACCAAAGTGCGTCCCTTCCCTGTCTACTAACACAGTAAATAGCTACCTTTATCCATAACAACTTAGAAAAGTTTCAGCGTAATGGGATTAACTCGAGGTATGCACTACGCAGCAACACATAATTTAACGACCTTAAAAAGATTCCGTCCAAATTAACCAAGTCAGAACTGTCTGTCTACGTAATAGGAGCACTACTACACAATAAGATACCGCATGATATCAAAGATGCAGCTTCATCGTTTAGCTTTAAGATTAAGTTAATTCTTTAAATTCCATAACATTAAAGAATTCCTTATTTCTTAAAATCAAATGACTTGTAAATTATAACATTGTTACCAATAAATAATTTCATTTGATTTGTTTTTATTTACTTTAGCGTTACGGCTTAGAAGGATAAGGGTGCGGGTGAAATTACAGGCACATGGGACTTGTCGACTTATGTCTCAGGGTGGCGGGCGCAGTGGCAGTGCTCCTCAGATCTTTGCGATTTAAAGCTCTGATTAGCACTGCAATTACTATGGACAGGAGTGTCATTCAGACGTACGACTTGTTCGTGACGTCGCTTCATATTATATATAAAAGAAGACCCGTGCCCAGCAGTACGACGTATAAATAGGTTGATGATGATGCTTAGTATATCTATTGAAAGATACTTTGGTGTTCACACTAGTATATCTTGTATCTTGAAGACCATCGCTTATACAGAAGAGTTCATATAAGGAAAATTGACAATTTGACATTTCCCTATACGCGTAGTAGTTATTGCTCGCGTTTTTTTCCATGAGTTGACATATAATTATAATACGTTGTATGCGTCCTGCGTACGTTCGTTGAAGTTGTAATACACTTTAACATAGTTATATTTTAACCAGAAAACAGTCAGTCGATTAAAATAGTTTACTTTAATTGAAATAGATATTATAGAAGCATATTATACATCTACACAGAAAATATTATAATAGTTCTTGCAAGTCGGAAAACATAATACGTGCAACATTTTATTATGATTACGTAAATAATGATTATGATCATTAAGTTATAACGTTATAAAAGCGAATTGTTACGTAGATGCGAATTCCACAGTAGACAATAAAACCGTTCATGATTTGATGTAGTTTATGTCTATTATATTAACCTGTACACACACTCCAATTGCTTGATCTCAAACTAGGAATTATTACTATTAATTATATAGCAAAAAAAAGCGCCCGCTGTATAAACTGATGGGCCGTAGCGATCGTCGAAATGCTTCGTATTAAGCGCGTAGTAATGCCTTCCATCTATAAAGGCAATTGTTTACCAAAATTTGTTTCATCAGTAGTTGCCGCTATTATGTTACTACCTAGTCAATTGGTGTTAACCAATTTAATATGTGCTTCAGTTCATTGACCGACTTTATGAAACAAGTTTAGTAATCGTTAAGATCCTTGTGAAAGAGTGCGTTCAAGGAAGCACTGCCACCATTCCTAATTCTGTCCCCAAACAGTAATTTTTTTAAATATTATTTAGAATGACATTTGTGTAGTAGAGTTAAGAATAAATTATGATTAATGTCTCCCCTCTCCCTTCCATGTTGCAATGGCTGTCAAGGTGCATGTGTTTGATAGTGTATAAGTACATATAATACTTATGTTTATTTTGGTAATGATAGTAAAAGTGACATTCAACATATAGCTCGGTGTGATTACGTCAAACGGTGTGTTTCACTAGCTGACAAAATTTTACAACAAATAATTAATGTTAGAACTAGTGGGACATGCCTGAGTTGCAATGGGTGCCGTCACATATTGCCTTGCTAGGGAATGAGAGGCGGTCCAGTTAGCCACTTCGGCTGCTTCAGAGGAGTCTGAGGTTGATTGTGCCTGTTTTCTCTGAAGTGGTTGCAAACTATAAAAGCAAGTTCCATTCTCGTTGGAAGGAATATTTCGATATGAGATCTCAAGAAAAAGAAATTTGGTACAGACCATGCAGAGTGAGCCGCCTCGTGTCCCTTGGTTTGACCATGTTAAGTAGGCGTCAAATTGTCAGCGGGCAAAGACTTCGATCCGGACACGTTCCATTAAACAAATTTTTGTATTTGATGCGGAGGGTGAACTCATCGAAGTGTTTGGGATTCCTGATGATGTACATCATTTGTTCTTGGAGTGTATTCGGACGGAGCCCATCATCAGGGCGCGGTTATTTGCACAGGCTGATTTCCGTACATTTGATGTTAGGTGGTTTCAATTTGTTTTGTCGGAGCCAACATGTAGTGCAGCACGATTTTGTATAACATTACTTAGGTAGTATTTTAATTTATCTATCTGGATTTTGTTGTGTTTTCTACATGTACCGTTTTTCTAATGAGGTCGACATGTTCAATAACGATGAAAGTCCCTAAATAAATGAAGATAAAAAATCACTTCACTTGGTGAAGTATTTTGAGTAAACAGTACTGGTTACCAAAGATATCATTCTTACCTATTCAATAAAACAGGAGTGGATGCAGTTGTAGTGTCTGACTCAGGTTGAGGGCTGGGCGGTGGTGGCATGGTCGGTGGTGACGATCCAGGGATTTCGTTAGTGCCTGCAACATAGATTGATATTGAGATAGAAGTTTAATTTAAGTCACCAATGTTGAGGTTCTTCGTCGTATGAGAAAAAAGTTGGAAATACTCAGAAGTGTAAATGAAAGGAAGCTGCAGTATCAAAATACTGCAAAATTCCGGATTCTTCAACTAACAATAAAATCAAGACTGACGCGTTCTTTGGGGAAAATCCAAAAAAAGCGTAGTCGTGGCAGAAGGAAATCCTCGTGGTTGAAGAACCTGAGAGGCTGGTGCCGCCCTAGCACAGGTTCCCTCTTTCGTGCGGCAGCTTCAAAAACGAGAATAGCCACAATGGCCGTCAACCTTCGTAAAGAAGCGGTACACTAAGAAGTAGAAGTTTAATAAGAATATCTAAATTTTATATTCTACTTTTAAGAAGTAACTTCTTGAAATGTTGCAAGGTGAATAATGTATTCTTTTTATTTTGTTTTTTTTTTGTACAATAATAATTAATTTAGCGTCTGTTTAAGTACTTTTGAATGTCGAGCACAGTTACAATTGTGCACAGATTATTAATTTTTAAGTGTTTTTAGTGTTAAATAAAAAAAATAAAAAATATATTATATATACATTTATGGTATACCAGTAATCTTTTTATACTTTCTGGCTTCTCAGGATTCTACCTGTGTGTAGTCAGTCATGAGAGTGACACTTTTTTGTTTTTAAAACTTTAATTACCGATAGTTTAACGTGAGATGCACGAAAGGAGCCTCTTCGCACGACGTAGGTACCATTTTACGTCTAGCGCACCATGCCCATCAATAACTAAGATATGATAACAAGAAGAAGTTTAAAGTTGTCATAACTGAACAGATTTTTAGCAGCAGTAGAGCTATCGAGTTCTTAGGTTTTCGCGATTGTTACACATAGGAAATGAAAAAACAAATATACGCGATTTAAATCCGGAAAGAAAAAGGCGTGAAGTATATGTAAATCCGGAAAAATAATTTCATTTCCTAGCAGTAGAGCTCTTTGTGTCCTATTTCTGCCGCTAAGCAGTAATGTTAGCATTACTGCTTTCCGGTTTTGAAGGCTAAGGGTGCTGGTAAAATTACAGGCACATGGTACTTGTCTACTTATGTCTCAGGGTAACGGGCGCAGAGGCAATTCCCCTGAGATCTTTTTGACTTAAAGCTCTGTGCGGCACTGTAACTCTTATGGACAGGCGTGTAGCTTATCATCAGGCGCACGACTTGTTCGTCCCGTCACTTGATGTTATAAAAAAAGTAAAAGTAGTTGATTCCCTACCAAAACGCCGCAGCGCGCGCTTTGCCCGTTATTCTTTTACAATTAATTCTTTTCCCCATACATTTCACACGGTGACGTCGATTATCTCAGTTCATAGGTCGAAATTCAAAATTTAGGCTTCGTTATGATCTGCAGGATTGTATTATTTATGCTAGTTTCGTGTAACACTCAACCGATGTTGAGGAATGGCGAAGTAATTCCGCACATAGATTGTACATTCTGAGCCGCTCTTAAGAAGGTTTCACACGCTTCGCTTGAATATTATAGAAACCATTTCATAGACGGGCAACCCCTTCTATGAAATGGTTTCTATAATATTCAGGTAGTACAATATTTATCATTATTACAGAAACTTCAATAATTTGTCCTGTATTTGTGTTTTACCAATTTCGCTTTTGTCAAAAACAAAAACAATTCTTTTGGAATCGAAATGATTAGTTAATAAAATATAAGCACGTCAACCCAACCGTTACCCTAAGCAACTTATAAGACCTTAAAGTCCAAATCGAACGAAATATCTAATTGATGAATAACCTTAATTTATTTCATTTTGTTAATGTCACTTTTGTTTCGGTTCAGTAGAATAGAATGACAAATGTTCTTAGTTGAGCAACTGCATGGATTCAACCTTAAGATTGTTTAATGATTTCCTTGATAGATTTTTATTCATTACAAAAGGCATTGGTGAGAATTTCGTTCACATTCTTTGTTTAAATATACAAAGAAAAACACTAAGTAAAATTCCCATATGGAGTTCCTCAAGGAGACAACATAGGTCCGGTTACTTATAGTTTAGGTATCGATTTTAATAGTAGCCTTTGTTTTAGATCCTTTCTCTAGTAGTAGTAGTCATATGGAGAATAATGAAGTTCTTCAGGGAAATAATCATCATATTTTTAACTTCAGTTATATCACACGGATGTATAAATACAATACAAGATATTTTACGAAAAAGCGTCTTACCAGTTCCAAGCACTTTATCCAAATTGTTGTCCTTGGTGAGGTATTCTTCGAAGTACCTAGTGAAGTCTCCAGTGGGGTCCCAACGGGAGGAAAGTTGGGCCCATTCCTCGGGGTAATCAGATTTCAGTCTCTTGATCACTTTGACAGCTGTCTTCTTCTGTCGATCAGTACAGCGAATGCATTTTGTTCTTAACGCTTCAGGAAGTATTCCTGTGGACAAGAGGTTTGTAAACATGAGTTATTTTTAATAAAATATAGGTTGTTAAGTGAATCCCTAGTTCCGGGCTATGTCGAGTGTGTGCGTTATATTATTATAATTCTGCTCATGATTCTTGAGCTGTAGTAGAATGGTTTGACCTACCGCCTCACAAGCTAAGACCGTGGGTTGGAATCCGGACACGCACCCCTGAGGTTTTCGAAATTTATATGCGAAATTTTATCTAAAATTTACCACGAGCTTTGCGGTGAAGAAAAACATGGGATGAAACCTGCACATTGAAGAAGGTTCACATCCCTCGAAAAGCGAGGCCCCAACGCGCATTGAACCAGCGTGGCGGACTATGGCCTAAACAGAGAAGAGACCTAAGAAGAGACCCGCGTCTAGCAATGGGACATATAAATGGGTTGATGTTGTTGTTGTTCATGATTCTTAATTTCGATGTCTTTTTGTTGAATATTTCTCCGAAAACCCAAAAATTTGTTTATTTTTGATAATTTCAATATGATTATCACTATTTTTGAGGCTACTTGCCACAGTATGACTTCTGTTTATTTTCCCGATATTTCGGCTGACTATCAGTCAACCCGTGATCATGGAGCGTGCAACCGTTCCGATATATCGGGAAAATAAACAGAAGTCATACCGTGATAAAAGCCTGAAATTAATGACAATCATTTAGTGAATAACCACGAAAGTCTTAAAAACTTCAATATCCATGACTTGTGATAAAAATTAAACGACTCGTATGTGTTAAATGTAACGTACACGTTTAACCGATGGACTCTATTGGACACAACGAGATCATCGTCCGATTAAACTGCTAGTAACCTTGGCCTTTCTATTTGTTCATGTTAACTACTATGATCACTAACCGTGACCTCTCGTGTCTGAGACCGATTTTTAAACTTAACGTTAAATGTATTTTCATCTTTCTTGTGTATTTTCATCTTTCATTTTAGAATGCGGATGGTGCTGCCACGTTTCTGCAGCGCATCTGCAATTTCGCGGAGGCGCACACAGACGGTTTCTATGCCATTTTACACAAGAGGATGGCATGTTTAATGCATCGCACAAGATGCAGCTCCAATAGCTTTCTAAAAGTATTATCAGACAGACATGACTGTGGAATATGGAAACACTGGCTAAAGCTGACTGGAAGGTCAACCCCTCAGAGACCGGTACAGTAGTTATTATTACTATTTCTATTTTAGACTCTCGCCTCTCCCAAGGCTTAAAAGAAAAATTTTGAATTTTCAAATGGGAGAGGCGATATTCCCTGGCAATGGCACAGTCGGCCGAGATCAGGAACTCAGGTTCAAGATTATTATTATTATTTTCGTATTTATTTTAAACTCTCGCCTCTCCCAAGGCCTAAAAAATTAATTATTATTATTATTATTATTATTATTGTGTTGTGTGTGTGTAGTTTCAAAGTAATATAGTTAGACTAACATTAGTTAATAAGTGTCTGTATAAGTAACAAATGACATGTTTTAATTATCTGAAATAAATTATTATTATTATTATTAGTAGCCTGATGCAGATGAAGAACTTAACCTTAATGAGTCTGTCTAAAAAGTAAAGTCCATATAACCCGGTTCCAATTTGCCCTAAGAAAAGTAATGGATGGAGAATATATATCGAGTTCTTAGGTTTTCGCGATTGTTACACAAAGGAAATGAAAAATATGGAGAATATAATGCACTAACAACAAGACTTTCATTTAATTTTTCACAGCTGACTAAACCCGAAACGAAACGTAAAAATATCTCTACGTGCTCTATATGCTCCATATCTGTTAGAAAAAAATACTTAAAATTATTTACCAAAAATTTTTGCGCCTTTCAATTCTCTTCTTAAAGGTCAGTAACATATTCTACGATATTGACATAGAATATTAAACGCGTTTAGATATCATATATGAGATTATTTGGCATGCAAATTAGAGTAGACAGAGTAACGTGTCGTATTTATCTACCTACCTAATAAGGCTACTCCGTTATAAAGTCAAGAAATGAAAACTCATAAAGTGTGCTAATCTGTTTATCTGTTAATTCATTCATGGACAATACCAGCCTTTACTGTAAAATTAAGTATTAGAATATGATACTATAGGGTACTACGTTTTTTTAATCTTTATTTAATTTTAGGACATTTGTTTTAAAGAACAAATATTATATAACCTTATATAACCTTCGTTACCTTGTTTTTAACCGACTGAAAAAAAGAGGTTCTCAATTCGATTGTATGTATGTTACGCGATAACTCACTTGTGAACCATTTTGATAATTCTTTTTGTGTTGGACAGAGGGTACTTCAGGATTGGTCCCATTTCAATTTGAAGACCTTATTCCACCTCTAACGGTGGCAAACTAGGGGATGAATCCTGTTTCGCGCACTTTCCGGTAACTAATTTCAATAAAACTTGAAATCAGATGTAATTCTCGAACTTTTGAGGTCGGTTTATTTAATACTCTGTACTGAGATTATTGATTTTTAACGACAAATCTACTTCTTCGCTTAGCCAGGTACCTTTACAGCTACCAGCAGCATGACTTTCACTTCTGAATTCCATTTAAAACTTAAATTTAATGAAAATCAAAATTGTATTTGAAAACAGGGCGTAAATATTTTAGTGCAGTCGTTAAAACCTAAAATATATTCCCCTGAAAAAATTTTCAAAATGGTGCTTTTCCCTTTCTACAAAACACCGATGATATTCGATATATTCGTGTATTAGGTAAGTAACTACGTTTGTATATGTTATTGGTTATCATGGCAATTTATCATGGCAATGACCCCATGTCAAAACATGAAATATGTACTTGTAATTCAAATTGATAGACTATTTTTTGCTATAATATAACGAAACACAACTTAACATATAAAATGCTATGCACGTGCAACGATAATACAAATTTTATTCGTAGAAGATACGTGATTGAATAAGTGTAACCTCGTACCCGGAGGTAGTGTCATAGCATTCTAATAATTTCCGTATTTATGACATTACTTTATTATGTACCCTGTTTATTATGCATAAGGAATATTAATTTACGTAATACTGACTTGTATCCATGTTCTTATAAAGCACTTGAAGACTTATAAATGCTAAAAAATAAAAAATATGCTTACAAAAATTGTAAACCACAACGTTTTCCTTTCCCATTATTGGCGTCTAAATGAAATTTAAGATATTTTTCATACATAATAGTGTAAGGATAAAAACTAAAGATAAAAAATAACTCTGCCGCCGTTAGTTGAAACAGCACATGTGACAGTTTTTCAAAAACTTTGTTATATTTGCTGTGATCAGTAAAAAAAATGCCGACCCGTCACTAATTTTATTTTTTCCTAGTTGGATAAGGTATGAAGTTACCGCAAGGGAAAAGTAGAAGTAGTAGTTTTTTTTATTACACTTCTTTAAACATTATTTTCTCGATGTTGAATTTTTGCCACAAGCGCCCTTATAACTAACGACGGTAGAACTGCACAACAACTTTATACATCTTATTTAGTTATCTAATTAAGTCTTTCTCTGTCTGCATATCTGATGCACCTTGGGTATCAATCCGCGAGAACCTTACGCAGATTGGCAAATCCAAAAATTGTAGTACCAGCGGTGCTCCTTGTGAAAGAGAAATTTTTGCCTACAAACAGTAATGTGAGCATTATTTTGTTCCGGTTTCGAAGGGTCAGGGCGCTGGTGAAATTACAACCACATGTGACTTGTCAACATGTCTCAGGTTGACGGGCGCAGTGGCAGTACGGCATTTTGCTTTGGGGTAATGCCGCCGATATCAATAGAATCTTTGTCCTGCAGAAACGTGCAGTTAGGGCAATTTACAATATGGGCCCCAAAGTATCTTTGAGAGATAAGTTTAAGGAAATTAACATTCTTACACTAGCCTCACAGTACATTTATGAAAATGTAATTTATGTTAAAAGGAATAGTAATTTATTTATGAAAAATAGTGACAGACATAACATTAATACGAGGAATAGAAATAAACTAGCTTTTCTTGATAGTCGTCTTCACAAAGTCAAAAAATCATTTAAGGGGCAATGTATACGCTTTTATAACAAGATTCCGGTTGATATACAAAATTTGCCTTTCACGAGGTTTAAAACTATAGTGAAACAAAAACTTTATACTAAAGGTTATTATACAACTTCTGCGTACTTGGATGACAAAAATCCGTGGTAGTAACCCGTTTAGCTCATGGAGGTAGTCTCGATCTCTGATGTTTCAAATAAAAAAAATATTGTAAATGTTATTTACAAAGAGCAACCCCTAGAGTTTCTTGCTCATTCTTCTCAGGGGAATCTGCCTTACGAATGAGCGGTAGAGTTTAACCATTGTGACGATTTCAAGTGTAATAATGCTTACCTATGAAATAAAGATTATTTTGAATTTGAATTTGAATTTGAATTTGTATATTCTCAATTTCACACTTTTGAGTTATGATAGTAAACAATAATAATAAATATTAGACAACATGTCATACGTTGCTCTGATCCCAAAGTAACTAAAGCACTTGTATAACAACGACGGTACCACAAACACCCAGACTCGAGACAATATAGAATAGTTAGTTTTTCTACATTGTTCCGGCTGGTGACCGAACCCGGGACCTCAGAGATGGCGACTCAATGAAAACTGGTGTGCCAGTCACTCGACCACAGAGGTCTACAATATTGAAACCATTCATGTGCGAATGTGTAGGTACGTATTTTATATTACAATTATATATGTATAGGTAATATAGGGAAAGTGGTAAAAGTTTATATTACTACATTTTATTTTAGATTACTTTTTTATATTTTTTATTATTTTTACTTGTTTGGTTCTGTTTTTTGTATGTCAATTTTATTCAATTGTTCGCTATACCAATTTTATTTTTAATTATATGTGACGTAATAATGTCTATTGTTGAAATACATAACTGTCTACATTTATATTCATTTTGTGATATTATTTCTAACTAATATCACAAAATGACTAACTCTAATATTTATACATGTTTTAT